CACGGATCCCAACACGGGTCTAGATTTGCTTGCGTGCCTCTCTCTTGCTGAGAAATCTGTCCTTCCTAATTACTTCTAGAGCAGTGACAAAAACCTTGTTGATCCAACCAGACAAATTCTGGCAAGTAAAACATTCAGAACTGTAACTATGAACATGCCGACTGCTGAGAGACAGTGATGATAATAGCACTGTTGATAACAATAAAAGGGACATAGGGAAGGATGAGAACTTAATTTTTGGCCATGTTCCATTTAAAGCAACTACAAAAGACATCTAAAAGAGATGTCAGCGGCAGAGACTCTGACAAGACATCTAATAGAAGATGTCAAAGAGGCAAGGGGCTGCTTACAGAGATTTCACTACCCGGCTGAAGTGATACAATCTTCCTCTGGACTGTGTCCGTAGAGACTGAACACAGGTATAATGATAAGTAATTTCTTTTTTTATGTTTTAATTGAGAAGGCAAGACAATCCTAAAGGACCTTGATATGCAATATATTTTTGTTCCAAAACGTCATGTTAGAAAGTGTGTTGCCATCAGAAGCAAGCACTCTCTCCCCTTTCTTGAGGGAAAACATGCAGCAGTTCTGTGGTTTACAGTGGGCAGCTACACTAGTGGAAATGTTTTGGTGCTTTACTATTTATGCTTTAATAAGAAAGATAAATTTTCTGTCTCTTTACATCTTTGAACAGCGGGTCACTAGTGCTTGGTCTATTCTCTGCAGTCTGTTGTAGCATTGTATGATACATGCTCAAATATAGGTCCTTCTCTAATAGCCCTGAAGATTTCCTTCCTTCCTTCTTCTTTCCTGTTCAGAGGCATCATGGCTATTGTCACTTGAATATTGTGACATCATCAGCGTTTTAGATGACTCATCATTCTAATTGATCAATATCATGTCCCTTCTATTTAAAAACAAATGCATGAATACCACCACCCTGTTTGAATGGACTTGCTGCTGTTCCAGGTCATCGTATGGCTATCCATTTCTGAGTTTCTCCCCTGCTCTCTTATCAGTCACGACCAGTCTGCGATAATTCTGAAAAGATCTTGATCTTTATTGACAAGGAGAGTGAGACCAAGGCATGGACATGAGGGAAAAGCATTAGAGAGGACGTTTGTGAACGTCACTGTATTGCAAGAAGCCCTCATCAGCAAGAGACTCAGGAAGGGCTTGACTGTAACGGAGACTGAGTCACAAGACTATCAGCAATTTCTGGTTTTGCTCCTCAGAGTTAGATACTTTGTAGTGACTGGTGCCTTTCTGCATATTTGACTAATACTTATTTGGAAGATTTTGAATATTTCTTTCCTCCATTTGTTCTGGAGTCAGGTTTGTCGGTTCCCAGGATGAAGCTGATGCCTTCAAAAAGTGCAGGTTAAGCACTTTCTGCACAAGAGATGCCAGTATAACCTCACATCAGCATCTGTGTGCAGACGAGACTGATAAGCATCAGTATCAGAAATGGTGCCAATGACAAGAGAAGCAAGTTAGTGATAGAGAGCTATTTCTTCTACATGGCTATATTTAGGGGAACCTCCCTTGCAATACAGAGCCTTTGTGTGTCCTTCATATACCTAAGGCAGGAACTTATTCTTTCCCTATCTCTGAAAGGGTCTTTCTGTATAATTTCAGTTTCAGCTTGTCCTATAGAGTTTCTACTGTCTTGGTCCTTCACCGAGGTCCTTCCAGGCAAAATGTTGATGCCTGCTGGACTCTTCTGCAATGATAGTTTTGCCAGGAAGAACAAGTTTCTTAGAAAAGCCGATGAAAGCACTCCTAGTCTCTGTTCTCCAATTGCTAGAGGTCTGCCAGATGAGGAAAACCTGTGATTCCCATTCAACTCACTCTAACAGAGTTTTCCATATAGTATGCATGTACGATGTACAGCACACAATTTATCAGAAAACTGCCTTTATTTTCAAATGCCATCTAGTTAAAAATATGCACTCATATAGCAGAGATTCTGTTATTACCCATACGTATGTGCAGAACATTGGGGAGCATCACATCACAAAGAACATTTTTTGTGTTTTTTCTTTTCAATAACTCTCCATTTGCAACACAGAAGTCAGTATTTCAGAAAATGCAAATGCTGCTGAATTAGTGGTTCTGTGGCACTTAAACCCCCCTGAGTAGAATAACTGAGAGACCCCCCCACTGGATTTTCAGTGACTATGTTTTACAGTAAATGAGTGATAAAAGATGCACTGCTTGGATTCTTGTCTTTGCTAATAATTTCCAATATATATGAAGAGAATGAAACGTTTAAACTCAGGGATGGGGGATTAAAGGATATCCATGATGAATGAGCTGTAGAGCTGAAGAGAATTTGTTGTACATCCTGACCAATATAGCAGTGAAAGTAATCAATCCATTACCTCTCTACTGAGAGAAATGGCAGAGAGATAAGAGGATAATGAATGCCAGGCACAATACTGATAAGGAAGACACTTAAAATGACCAGCCAGAATATATTCCGTAGTTAATAGTGCTGACAAAAACAGTGACAAAGTAATAATTTATTCATGGAATAAGAGCCATTCCTGTGAAAATCAAGGTAGCATTTTAAATTAAGGCAACTATTGAAATCAGAGTAGCCTTATTAACCAGTAGCCATTAATGAATTATTGTAGAAAAGAATACTTTTAAGGGCTCATTTTGCCATTAACATATGGGCTAAATTGCAAAATCCTGTTACTTACAAACGCAGACTTTTTTTTTTTCTCTGCCAAACCCTTCTGTTTTTTTCCTTAACCCTTTTCTTTAATGCAATAAAAATTCATATGAAGCTCTGCATATTCACATGCAGCCTGAATGGAATAATGCTTTTGCCCAGTGCTGACATGCTCCCTATCCCACAACCTTTTAAGAGGTTGACCTAGATTTTGAGTCCAATAATAACACTGAGTACTGCCAAGACTGAAATTTAAATACATTTGATGATTCAAAATGCAACACTTAATTAAGAAACCACACCTATCAAAAGACTGTTAGTTTTTCTCTTTCTGTGCCTGAAGATTGTGCTGTATGAACATACTGTGCAACATGAAGTGTTGGAGATATATAAGGAACAGCAGAGCCTGTGTTGAATGAAATAAAATCCGCATTTGCTCCAAATGGCTAAGGTTATGACTAAAAACCAGGCTGCTCCATCCTGATTTTCTTTTCAGATTTCATTATACCATTTCTTAAATGTTTATACTATATCTAAGAATGTTTGGGGTCATTATCTGCTTGGAAACTGAACCTCTGGTCAAGTATACTGGTTTTCCTGGTACACAAACAAGCTATCTAACCACATAACCTTCTGACCTAAAAGTCTATTATTAAAACTTTAAAAATTTTATTTTCAACAAAAATATCTTCCAATTATTCAAAGAAACTCTCATATTTCAGTCCTGGTGCCAGACAGAGATGGGTTTAGAGGGCTTATCAATTCCCACATACAGTAATTTTCTCCCTGTATATCCGTGACAGATACAGAGCTGTACTGTCAGATTTGTTGTCTCATCTTAGACAAAATTAAAACATAACTTTCAGGGACTTAACAATATTTTGAGAATTCTGTTTTTATATGAAAGCGATTTTATGTATCCATTATAGTTAGGAAATTATGTATGCTAATAAATGTGCCCACCACAAACCCTAACTGGACAATTACTTCTTTCCTCCTTCTTTCTAATAAGGATGGTGAATGTTTTTCGTAAGCTTAAAAGTATTAGTTAAGTCTTTGACTAGAAAGTGTCTAAGGGAGAAAACCGTCACTAAATAAGGTAAAAGTTTCTTTAGTGGCTAGCACAGAAATGCTTAGGGGACAGGTAAAATAGGTATTTAATGTACATATACAATATCTGCTATTGCAATTGAGCTCACAGAGCAGACTGCTGCAAGACGGAGAAAACAGGCTTCAGATCCCCCAGCTGCCTGTATTAACCCACAGTCGCTGAAAGCAAAAAGAAGGCTCACTCGGTACTCCGAGCACAAACCAGACTTTTATTCAATTCCATCTGAGCTCACGCAGAGATAGTGACAGTTTTCTCAAAAGGGAACACAACTCGCCTTCTCAGCTCCTAAGCGTCGGTAACGAGCTGCTCTAATCGCCTTAAGAGTGGCTCAAAACAACTGGGCAAAGGAAATAATGCTAAAAAAATTGCTGAAGTAACCCCTGTTTTACGCTGAAACTATGCTGTTTTGTCACGTTCTCCTGGGTTTTCCAGGTGCAATTCTGCCGCATTCCTGTGGCTAGATAGAGAGTTTTGAGAGACCTGATAATTCTCTTAGGCTCCCAATACCCTGACTGATCACTGGTCCCGATGGCTACAGAGCCTTCAAAAACCTGACTATTTGGTCCACGTTCACCCTCAATACTGGGGACTGAGAGAGCAGATGATATATCCCCCCTGCCCCTTCTTCTCTCCCTCTCTCCACTGAACTTCTTTCCCTCCTGCCTGCCTTTTCCTATTTTTTCAAGAATCTGCATCACTTTTGGAGGTCTCGTCCTTTCTTTCAATGACTGGAGTTGGCAGTAGTGGATTTTGTGGATTCGCAGGGGAACTCTGTCAAGTTTCTCTGCATTGTGGGAACACTCCCCATTGGTTCTAAAGAAGCTGCAACCCAGCACCATGATGACCGCTGTAAGGAGATTGTCAGGACCCCACAGCGACTCTCCTCCTAATATAGAGACTTGGACTAAATCATCTCTTTGAGGATTATTTCAATTCATGAGAAATGAAATCACTTCTCTAAGTGAATGTGCTCTTTTCTCATTTACATTTAACATAAGGTTTGGTATGATTGGGAAGAATGATGTTTAAAACACTCACTGCTCATCAACACCAATCCAACTGACAATGGTTTCCAGCTTACAAAGCAAGATGAGGAATATGAGTAATAAATTAAATGAATAAAATTAAAATGTCAGCAGAGAAAGTAACTAATCTGCATCAAGTCTCTTATGTAATCCAGACCCTTTTGCTGCTGTTATTATTCAAAACCCTTAGGGAACCAAGGATCTAGGTCATCTGCAGGATAAAGAGTGTACTATCCAGGAATCAATATTCACAGTAGTAAATTAAATTATAGTCCTCTCCATGCAAAGAGTTTCATTATTACAAGGAGTGTTGACAATTTAAACTCAATGGGAAAAACTAAATCTAAGCTATCAGATAACTTTTTCACTATGGCGCCTCCCTATATACCACGCTGTCACTTAAACTGTCACTAATTCTTAACTTTCTGTGAAATAAGATACTGCACTTTCCCAGTAAGCATATGGCTACTATAATGATAAGCTTAGATAAGCCACTGCATCTGTTGGAAGGGCCATTTCAATTAATACTGACAAAGTTATATTACCATTAACACTAGAGAAACATCAGCACCGCCGGAGAGGCATTTGAGACATCCTACAACACGCAATTGCCATTTGCAATGGGATTTTTAACCACAGCGGTGTGATAACAGAATTTCTAATGCCTAAAATATGATAGAGAAGTTGATTTACAGGAATGCTGGTAAACTAGCAGCTTTGATTTGCCATTAGCTGCAATGTCTCGGTGTAGTCTCCTACTGTTACTTCCACTGTTTTGGTGGTCAGATTGTATTTACCTATGACCAACACCCCAATTTAAGACGCTGCCCAGATCCAAAAGTCAAATCTTATGATAGTTTTCAACCTAACTGAAGTTGATAGCATATGATTGGGAACTGAAGGCAATTGTATAGCATTTATCTAAGCAGTCACATTTCTGTTTTTAAACCTCCACAGAAAAGCTTCTCATTTCATGGTACATTATGAATCTCATTCATTGCATTAACTGATGAGGAAGGCAGACTGGTTTGATTGATTGCTTAAACTGGCAGAGCTCAACTCAACTGCACACTCTAGGGCATTCTTGTGCTGCTCTGTGCACTGCACCGGGTGCTGGCACAACCCCTGCAGCCTCCCTTGATCCAAAGCAAAGGGAAGTGGCCCAAGTCAGAGATACAGAGCTTCCACTTTCCATCTCTAACAACACGCTGTTCCCTTGTCTAGCACTGGCCATGACTTTTTTGACTCAATTTCTCTTTGTAAGCTGGTGTAAAAAAATGAAACGTGTAGATCAAGGAGAAATGTTGCTAAAGAATTGCAGCACTATTCATGTAGGAGAATCAGCTGATTCCTTTTCTCAGACATATATAATCCCACACAAAAGACTCTATAAAGCCACATAACAGTGCTACTTTGGGAAACTTCAGAATCCTGAAATTCAGAAAACTGTGCAAGTAAAGTGTTAAGATCAGAATTAAGGAATGAGACAAAGAATTGCTTCATTTTTAGCTCAACAGTCATGCAAGGTTCAAATATATCCAAACGCCAAAGTCACAGTTTGCTACTTTATTACAGAACACCCGAGGCTCAGCTTGCACAGAAAATTAGGAAGGTTTTCCCTAATTGTTTCCCGAGTGTACAGATGACAACACATAACTACAATTAATGTATTCTTCTGCTTAACTTGGGAGGTGGAAGGCATTACTATGAACCAGTGCTTCTCTTGCCAAATGAACCAGCAGATGCAGCAGGCCCCAGAGATGCTGAACCTTCTGATCCCAAAGACAGCCAAGTTGTCATGATGCTTCAGCAGCATCAGATGCCTTTGAGGAACATGAAAGCACCAGGCACTGCATACCGACACGGGAAACGGGTTTTCACGTGCCACTCCAGCTGAAAGCGTTTGGGAAAAAACCACGCGCCTGTCCTTCCAGGTGTGCGTGACATCTAGGCGAGGGGAAAGGACCTCCTGAGATTATTGTCTCGCTCTTGTTTGTGTAGTGCTCCTCCGCCATTCACAGCCAGAGGAGTGCCGAAATCGCAGGACCCACCACGCCTGTCAGAACAAAGAGCTTCTGTCAAGTGCCTCTGCTGATCGTAATTGAAGTGGCACGAAAAAAAAATATTTAGAAAAATGGAGAAAGGAGGGAGCAGATGGATGGAAGTAGGAGCTGGTGGTTCACTTCTGGCTGCTTCTCCTCAGAAGTCAGATTGCAGCAATAACAATGGGCTTGCTTTCCTGATCCTATCCTAGCCAGATGATTAAATACCCCTTTTTGTTACTGCAGTTTCCTGGTGACCGAGATCTGCTCTGGTTATAGATGAACTCTTCCTCAATCATAGTGAAAAAACTCACCAAAGCTGCTGCATTCTGTAGCACTGTGCATTCACCTATTTGCTGAGAGCAATGCAAAAAAATAGTAAAAATAAAAAGCTATTGCCCATTAACCTACCTGGCCCAGGAAACACATGTTTAGAAGACCATTATAAAGGACTGTTATTATGTTTGAGCACACAGCACAATGTATTGCCAGAAGACAACTGATGGACAAAGCTGAAGAGCAGTCAGATTTGACCAGAATCCAAATCCTACCCCTGTTCTATCCTCTCTTTATCAAGCCCAAATCACACTCCCTCCAGCTCCTCTCCCTCCCTGACTGAGTTAACAAAAAATTTCTTGTAGCTGTTAATGAAAGCTTATAGCCTGCAATATACCATTGAGCTACCCTGATTCTATCTAATACACATTTTATTATTTCAGGATTAATAACAAGAACAACCGACAACACTACAATATACTTACACGGCACCTTAATTTGAAGATTGCAAAGGATATTACAAAAGACTGAATAAGTATTAATATGTCTTTGTCCCCAGCTAGCAGAAAACACTGATACACAAACAAAATTCATTTGGGATCTGAACAAAGAATCCTCAACTCTGAGTGAGGAGGGTGTCCATAAGCCTAGTTGTATGCAAAACTTTAATTAGATATTAAAATACACCGCTGCCCCATGACTGAGGTCAGCATGCCATGCAGAAGCTTAGAAAGCTTAAAGGCAGCCTCGGATGGCTGCAGTGGACTGTGTCCCACAGCAACCTGCGCAGTGCAATACTGTGTCGTACAGTACCATGAGCTACTGTCAGGATCACATTTACTGCGGTCACTCTGGTTTACGTGTTTTTTAATATATTTTATGGATTACACGGTTGAAACCAATGCTGTATTATGGTTTTACAGTTAAGAGTTAACCGCATGGCATTCATTTATTCTTCTGTGCTTTAGATTTTATCAGAAAGGTCTGATTACTTATCAGTGCTGATGCCATATGAATTACATCAAGATGAAGAATTTACATGAAAATAAGTCATCAGCACTTCGTGCTGAGTTCCATATGACTTCAGAGAAAATCATAACCTTTCTATATAATTTAAAATTCCTCCTTTAAAATCTCTTTACAGTATTCTATAGGAGGGATGAAAACCTTCCCCCTTTCTCCTCCCGCTCCCCCACCACAAAAATTGAGAAAAGGATGCTATTATCTATTAAACTAGGTATCCAGATTAGTTTACAAAAGCATATATACTTTTGAAATAATCTTATAATTCTTATAATCCAATTGGACTACAATATTTTATAATTTTATAGGCTTTATCTATATGATCGTACGCATAATTTCAAATGCACAAATACTTGCAAGCTAAAATGACCATTTTGAGTATACAGATTGCAATATATTAGTATATCCTTAGATCATAATATGGCTGAACTGCAGTTTTGTTCACTGTGTGTAGAAGAGAAATGTAACTTATGTTCAGAATTTGAGTGCAATGTTGAAATGATCCAATACCAAATTGTGCATATGCATACAAATATACAGCGTCATTATTTTTACATTTAATTTCTTCAGCTCTAACAGCATCTATACGAGGTTTAAGCCCAGGTAATTTCTGAATATTTGGAACAGTTTCCCAGTATTATGAGACTCAAACCTGTTTAATCGTGTGCTTTGCAGCCCACTTTAAGTGAGCACTTAAAGTTACTGTTAATCGTGGCTACTCTTTGCTAAAGCTTCCCATCAACAGATCTCTCTCCAGTTTCCAAAGGAAGGCAGTACCATAAAGCACAGACTTCAGGCCCATTGGCTGCTCTACAGGACACGTTAAATATATGCATAAATCACTGCAGGAGTAAGGTCCAAGTCAGTTTGGAGTTACTGACTGAAAGCTTTCCCTTCTGCAATAAACTTAACACTCAGCTCATCAAAAATGAACCCCAAACCAGACAAGCCACATTTGGAAAAAAATTCAGCTGTTGTAAACCAGTTGTACCACAGTATGATAATCCTAAAATGGCCATAGAGAACATGGCCAATTTGAAAATGCACCACTGCAAAGAAAGCAAGCACCCGCTCTTCCAGTCCAAAACCCTGAGGGGAAGTATTTTTTTTCCTGAAACAATTATAAATAACTAAAAAAAAAAGGATTTGGTATGAAAATGCCTCCCACACAGTCATCTCCACAGCACTGCTAATGTGTTGCTGTAACGCTTTCTGTGAGTGATTATGTATTTCAGCTTTTGCATACCCGCTGAGTTCAGTCATTTACTTCGATTAATTTAAACATAGTTACAAATAAACATTTGAAAAATATAGGTAAAACGTGGTTTTATTTTTCAGTTCTGTGCTTTAAGTTTGCCTTTATTCATGTCTTCCTGCTCTTCCCCCAGAGAGACACATCTCCCTTTCCTCAATTTTCAAAGATGAGCCTTGTCACTCTATTGCTCTTAGTCTGAACCTGGGAGATAATAGGGCAAATTTGACAAAACCTGTGCAGGAAATGAACACTTATTCATTTATTAGTGAGTCTCACTGGGCACTATTAAACTTGTAATAAAAAAGTTATCGAAAGGAAGAGAACAAACCTACTGAATTAGAAACCTAGACGTTGGTGATGTCTTCAGCTTTTTCACTAATTCCCAACAGGTTGTTAATGGACAGCATTGCTCCCAGCTACAGGGAATTAAGGAGTTAAGATTTAAGGCTGACAGGGAGGACAAATTATGATCCCACTGTACAAGATTCCTTGCTCAGTATTGCTGCCAAGGGCAGCAAAGGTTGGGGACCAGTGCACTAATCTTATTGCATAATTATAATATTACCTTTCAACCCATGTCTGGGAAATCCTGAAGCTCTGCACAAAGTGTAGGTG